AACTTAAGTGGATGTCACCAGCCACATTGGAAGATTCAAACAGGTCCCTCCTCCTATCAGCCGTACCACCAGAACCAGTTGCCATTGAGTCAGTTCCAACTCATGGCGACTCCCTGTGTATCAGAGTAGAACTGTGCACCATAGGGTTTTCAATGGCTAATTTTTTTTCCAGAAGTAGATTGCCAGGCCTTTCTTTCAAGGTGTGTCTGGGTGGATGGGAACCATCAACCTTTCTATTGGCAGCCGAGCATGTTAACCATTTGCACCACCGAGAGACTCCCACCAGCCACACACCTCCCAGTAAAGACACCTCAGAAGCAGATGTAAGAACACCATCAAATCACAGGAAGCTTAGAGTACAGCTGAGGTCCCTCGGTGGTGTGAATTGTTTGCGCTCTACTACTAACCTACAGGTTGGCGGTTTGAAACCACCCAGTGGCACCATGGAAGAAAGGCCTGGTGATCTGCTTCTGTAAAGATTACAGCCAAGAAAACCCCATGGAGCAGTTCTAGCGTGTAATACACGTGTTCACCATGAGTCGGAATGCACTCAACAGCAAAGAGTTTTTGGTTTATAGTATCCTTAAGAGTAATAAAACTTGCCTATTGGAGAGTTTCCATTTGGAGAAGCTGGTTGTGGGCCTGTGTAGTGTGTCACTCAAATGAATGTAATTAACTAATTTTTTGCATGAAGAATCTAAGATATATTTCCTATTTATTTACTGTTTCCAAAAGAGTAAGATATGGGTGGAAGCAGATATGGCTGACTTTTTTCCAGCCTATTAGAACTATTTCCTGTTATTTTTTTAATACAGAAATTTGATTTTAATGTTTTAAAATTAGCCCCCACTTTTCAGAAATATAAACATCTCATAAATTGAGAGATGAGAGTAATTTAGTGAGGAGGTACAGCCGGAAAATTCCTGTTGCCAGTGTGTCTGCCCCGCGCGGTGCCTGGTTTCCTGAACCACAGAGGGCCAGAGCTGGAAGGGAACCAAGGCCAAACCTCTCATTGCCCAGATGGGGAAAGTGAGGTCCTGTGAGGAAAGGAACGGGTCCATGCTGTCTCCTGATCTCATGACCCCGGTCTTCCCATCCACTGCCCAGAAGGAGAGTCTCAAAGGCCCAGGGGCGCCCAGATCTGGACCAGAACTGCCTGTGATGGCCCAGGTCTGATGCACAAGAAAGGACAATCTCTTGGGACATTCTGCCTTTGATCCTTGGGGGCGGGTGGGATCCACAGTCACAGACTCATTTCCCAGGTTATGTATTACAGGGCTTGGGTCTCACTCTCCTGTCCTAAACAGTTAACTTGGTGGGGGAAAGGCTGGATTCTGTAACCTTCCCTGGGGAGAAGCCCAAGGACGTGGAGGCCGGACTGGGGATCCCCCTTCTGGTAGAGGAGAGCTGAGGGTGAGATGCAGGTGATGTGTGGGTGGGGGTAAGAACCCTTTCAGGCTGGGGGGCAGGGTGGGGAATGGGCACCTTATGGGGAGTGGGAGGCGTCAGTTCATTTTACGGCTTGAAATGTCTCCGCTGTTCTCACTTCCCATGGTGGGAGGTGGGCTGACTTCCACAGTATGGTTTTGCACAGGGGTGGGAAGTGAGCCTTCTGCTTGCTCTGTGTGGTCAGACCAGACTCAAGGCCCAGGGGTTTGCAGATGGGACCACAAAAGGAAAGTTTCCTTCTTCCACATGGCCCCCGAGGACAGAAGCAGGCCCAGGGATGACCCAAGGTTAGTGTAGCTTGGTGGTTAAGAGCCATACAGAACTGGGCTTACATTCTAGTGTTGAGCGACTCTGGGCAAGTCACTTAACCATTCTGAGCCTCTGTTTCCTCATCCATGAGATGGGTCTAATGTTAGTGCCTACATCAAATAGTTTTTGGAAAAATGAAATAAGATAATACATGTAAATATAAGTGGCAGGTATTATTATTAATAATAACAAGATAATAACATGGTTTATAAAGGGTGGAAGGGAAGGTGAAGTTTTAGCTGAGTGAAATGTTTGGAGCATCTCTGCACAGAACAGATGAGATCTTGAGGGAGGGAGCTGTCTGTCACTGGAGGCATCCAAGTAAAAGTTAGGGTCCCCTTAGAGGGTCCCGGGCAGAGCTGGAGAAGAATGTAGAACAAAATTCTAACTCAAAAACGACCAGACTTACTGGCCCGACAGAGACTGGAGAAACCCCGAGAGTATGGCCCCCGGGCACCCTTTTAGCCCAGTAATGAAGTCACTCCGGAAGTTCACCTTTTAGCTAAAGATTAGACAAAACGAGACCAAAGGGGCACACCAGACCAGGGGAAAGGACAAGAAGGCAGGAGGGGACAGGAAAGCTGGTAATAGGGAACCCAAGGTCATGAAGGGAGAGTGTTGACATGTACTAGTTTGTTACATAAACCTTCATCTAAAGTTCAATTAAAAGAAAAAAAAATTAGGGTCCCCTAATTGGAGATGTTGTCAAGGTATGGAAGCCTCAGACTGGGGCAGACATGATGATCTCGAAAAGTCCATGATGTGGGCTGGAAAGCAACGGGTGGGCTGGAAGGCAGTGGCTTGCAGCCCAGCCTAACCCCCATCCAGATCATTCTGGAACCTCATATAAGGCACTAAATCTGGCGACTGCACTGTGTTCCCAGGCAGTGGAGCTGGGAGTGCCAGATTTTGAAGAGTTTTCATTGTGCATTTGGTTAACCACGTCCCAGAGAGGGGGAGGGCTTTGGCAAGCCTGGGTTGGTGTAACTGTGGCGGGATGAAGCAGAAGCCTTTTGACTGGGGCTGTGTGGGTCTCTTGCTTTGCTTGTCCTGGGGATGGTTGAACAGGGCAGAGTCCCTCTGGGTGTCAGACCAATCCCAAAAACCAAACCTGTTGCCATGAAGTGGATTCCGACTCGACTCACAGTGACCCTATGGGACAGAGAAGAACTGCCACATAAGGCTTTCCAAGGATCAGCTGGTGGATTTAAACTGCTGACCTTTTGGTTAGCAGCTGTAGCTCTTAACTGCCGTGCCACCAGGGCTGGGTATCAGACAGGGGTATGGAAAGAAGGATGGATGGTGTAGGCATGGGTCATGTCTGAGGGTGGCCTCACAGGCCCTCATGGAAACAGAGCTGGAGGGGGTTGCACAGGCCGGGCATGCAAGTAGCTGTGGGGTTATGCCCTGGACCTGGAGGCCACCAGCTGGCCCCCTGTCCTACAGCCATTGTACACCCTGGGAGACAGGCTTCCTTTGTGTAGGAGGGGGTTCTGCAGATCCTCAGGGACAGAGGCCCTTTGATTTGGCAGTCACTCATTGTCCAGGTTCAGACTCACCCTCTGCCCGTGAACTTGCCTGCCTCCCAGGTCCCCAACAGTATCTTTCATGCTTCTGCACTCTGGCCCAGAGTGATTAGGTTTAGGACACACCCTGTACTGATATGGCCTCATTAACATAACAGAGAAAAGCCTATTCCTGAACAGAATTACATCCACTGGTAAAGGGGTTAGGATTTCAACACATATTTTTGGGGGACACAATTCAATCCTTCACTGACACTGACATTTTAACAGACATACCAGAACTTTTGCAGACAATGGAGTTTCACCTGGGGACCCCTCAAACTCATTCCAATAACGCTGCCGTTTTCCCCTGATTGGGTCTGTTTATGAGGCACAGAAGGCAGTTCATCTTGGTTATGATCCAAAACAGCATTGGCAGTGTGATCAACAGACATTGCTGGAAGGGACATGAAAAAGATTTGCTGCCACCAGGAGGTTCATGGTGGTGGGTGTTCAGTAGGTCTTGGAGGCTGTTCCCTAGAAGCAAACTCAAAATGGGCTGAGGTGGAAAACTGGTGGAATTTCGTTGCATAAAGTGGCTGCTTTAAAAAAGAGCGTCTTCTGTTCATATGGAGAAGGTCCAACAGACGTACAAAAATGACTCCTCTCTCACTCCTCTGTGTTCACAGCTGCATTCCCAGTTCCTGGAGCAGTGCCTGGTATAGCAAGCATTCTGTACATATTTGTTGAATGAGTGAACGAATTCAGCAAATATTTATTTATTGAGTGCCTACTACTTTCCAGGCACGGTGGTAGGTGGGCTGGTTTTATTGCCTTATAGAGATGACGTGTGTGTTTGTCCGTGTAAGCATATGTATGCATATGTTCACACACATCTGGTTGTGTATTTCATTGGGCTCTATGATTACTGCCTTCATCGGGTGCTAATTACACATTTGCTGGGCTTGGCCAGGGTTATATTTTTATTTCCAAGGCCAACACCTGCTGTTTTTCTTTTTTTAAGGAAATATTTTGATGCAGGCAAAAAATTAGATTAAAAACAGAGTATGTGCTCCTGCTGCAATTTCCTGGCTGGTTCATTGTTGGTGAGCATTTGATACCCCCCCTTGAGGGGAGTACTTGTGAATGCAGCATGCACAATGCAGCATGTATGCACGCGCGCACACACACGAGAGCTTTAAATCTAAATTAATAGTACACCGTATTGGTGTGAGGGACTAGCACCCACCATAGGGGTAATTAACTTTTGCCTCTAGTTTCCCCTTCTCTGCCTGTAGGAAAGAAAGATCCATGCACTCATGCTTGGGGCTGGAATATAGTTCCCTTGTGTGTGTGTGTGTATATATATCCCTTACAGCAGGAACTTTCATGCCCCCACCCCCCGTTAAAACAATAGAACCCTTTGTTTAAAGGAAATTTTATGTGGAACCTCATGATTACATTACACAGTAAAAGTGGATCCACTTTGCTTGAAATGAGGATGGGGTTCCCTTGCTCAGTCCCTCTGCTACCTCCTCCCACTTCGCTACCAGTGTCTTCATATTACCTCCTGGAATCCCAGGGCTCCCCAAGGCCCTAGAGGAAGAGCCTCTCTGTGTGTGGCTGTGAGTGCTGCATTCACAAGTACTTCCCTGTGCATCTGCTGTTTACTCATGCCTCTTCCCTCTCTCCCCTTGTACCCCCTCTTTCCTCCCACCCACTGTGTCCTTGGTTCAGGCTGGCCTGATCCGCACAGACAGCACCGACTACTTCATTGAGCCTCTGGAGCGGGGGCAGCAGGAGAAGGAGGCCGGCGGGAGGACACACGTGGTGTACCGCCGGGAAGCCGGCCAGCAGGAGTGGGCAGAGCCTCACGGGGACCTTCACAATGAAGGTAGGCTGGGGAGGGAGCCCAACTCTACCTCTCTCCACACCTCCGTGGGGCGGGGCGGGGGTGGTTAGTAATTTCTGGCCTTCACTTTGCAACTCCTAACCTGAGTCTGCTTATCTGTAAAATGGGACTGGGCCATGTAGACCTACTGTACTAGCAGAAGAACCCCAGTGGCCTTTAGGAGCTACTATAAATGGCTGGAATTGGGGGCCAGAGGGGCTGCTTGGGCTCCCAACTCTGGTTCACAGGACTCCAGAGGTCTCTGAGGGCTTCAGCATTGCCTTGCAAGGCTATTTCTGAGCCAAGGCGGAAGGTGGAATGGCCACAGTTAGCTCTCCCCTGCAAAAATCATCTCAACCCCCGGGAGCCACAGGAAGGAAAATCCGAGGGCATCATAGAGAGTGTGCCCACTGCCAGGGCATCAGGGTCAGCTTTGTGTCCAAGAGAATTTTTTTAAATGCTGGCTCCCACACTGATTACTGTATGACCCTAGGCAAGTAACTTAATGTCTCTGAGCTTCTTTTCCTAATTAGCAAAGGAGGGATGATCATTGTCTATGTGCTAAGGCTGTTATGTGCCTTGGTGAGAGTATATATAAAGATCCCAGGTGGAGCTTGGCATGTAGTAGGTGCTTGATAAATGGTTACTCTCCTTACAGTGTTGTTATTAAGGGAAAGTGGTGGTTCAGTGGTAGAATCCTCGCCTTCCATGTGGGAGACCCAGGTTTGATTCCTGGCCACTGCACCTCATGCCCAGCCATCACTTGTCTGTCAGTGGAGGCTTGCCTGTTGCTATGACACTGAACAGGTTTCAGTGGAGCTTCCAGACTCAGGTGGACTAGAAGGAAAGGCCTGGCAATCTACTTCTGAAAAATCAGCCAGTGAAAACCCTCTGGATCACAACCCCATTGTACATGGAGCTGCCATGAGTCAGCGGCTGACTGGACAGCAGCTAACAACAACAACACTGACATGTTAGGATGGGGCCCCATAAGGGCAGGGCGCTCCTGCACCCCCGGTGACTAGAACCGGAGCCTGCACAGCCAAGGACTCAGGACTCTTGTTGAGTGAACGCAGAGTGACTGCGACATGGTGCTGGTCCTGGGCCTGTGGCCAGCCGCATAGTGGAAATTAGCTGTGTCACGAAGACCCTTTGAGCAAGAGCGGACCAGAGGGCCCAGGGTGGAATCTAGGGGGGAGTAGACCACACCCTGTTGTTAGGGCCCTGGCAGGGTTGGGCGTAGCGTGAAGGAATGCCTGGAAACCAGTTGTCTCCAAATACAATGCCTCCTTTGAAGCGCCAGCTGCTCTCAAGTGTCACTCAGAAGAGAAGCCATGGCACCCAGAGCTGTAGAGGGGTGGGGTTGAGGCCTGGGGTGGGGTTGAGGTGGGGGGAGATGAGGGGTCAGGCAGAGCCTCGGGTGACTTCATGGGTTTCCTGATCAGGCTGGTGGCTGTACCACCCCCTGTACCACACTGGGAAGATGACAAGCCTGCCTTGGGTTTACTTTATCTGAGGCCAGTTCCGAATCAAAGGACCATAAGTCACCCCTGTTGGGGAGAGACCTTAGGGAAGTCCAGCTCGCTGGGCAGCTGGGAAGACTGAGCCTGAGCCTGGTGGAGGGGGGGCGGGTCAAGACCCATGAGAGCACTGATATCTGCCTGCCCCTCCTCATGTGGCCATCTCAGACTCCAGTGGATTGTGAGTGATGCCATGCCATGAGCTCAGCCTGCCTGGCCCATATGTCCTTCCTGAGAAAGATAGGGGCAATGGAGGAGGACTCTTAGAAACCCGGCACCTGCATGCTGTTATTTTAAGACCAGGAGTGGGTGTGAGCCCAGTGAGTGGAGAAACGATTGTAGGTGTGCCTGTTTCCTTCAATATTCTCATCACAGTTAAGACGGAGGCTTTTACCTCACGTCTGTAGGTCTACTTTTGGCCAATAGTGAAAGGCCTTGGAGGCTAGCAGCCAGTAAAGAGGCTGTGAGAGATCTCCCTCACTCTGAGCCCTTTCCTGTCTCTGCCCATCCCCATCCTGTATCAGCCCAGCTCAGATGCCGTCCCATGGGCCCCTCAGCCCCCTGGGTTTCTTCTGCATCTGCCACCCCCAAAACAGGCTGTGTGAGCTGTGGTCTGTGGAGGGGCTCCTGCCCCCTGCCCTCCACTGTAAGGGCCTGACGTGTGCCCATGACTGTGGTGGGTGGAGGGGACCATTCCCCCTTGGCATTCAGGGCATGGCTGTGGCTCCTGCTTCCTGAAGTGAGCATGGGTGTATTCCCTCATCCCTGATGAGCCCCCAAAGAAGGGGTAAATTCTTTACTCAAGGCTCTGGTGAAAAATCTAAACTATTTAGAGTGTGAGGTAGGGATTCCCTGAGTTGGAACGCCTGGTGAGAGCTGGCCGTCACCCCCGCCCTCAGGGACTCCCCTGTGGACACTGCCTTGGCCCTGGAGGCTGTGCCCCGGGTACTCCCATGCTCCTAATGGTACCCTCTCCTTCCTCAACCTACAGCCCAGCTCTCTTTTTAACCCCTTTCCATCCTCCACATCCCTTCTGAGGAGGGAACTGGACCTCCTCAGACACCAGAGCAGCTCATCCCCATAGGTGCAGCCAGCCATGCTTGTGCTGGGGCTGCTGCTTTTTTTTTTAATTATTGAGATAACATTTATGTAACGTAAAATTTGCCATTTTGTGCACCAATGTTGTGCGATTATTACCACAAATAGAGAAAGACAAAAACAAACAAACAAAAAAAACCCCATTGCCATTGAGTCAATTCTGACTTTTAGTGACCCTATAGGATGGAGTAGAACTGCCCTGTAGGGTTTCCAAGGAGCAGCTGGTGGATTCGAACTGCCAACCTTTTGGTTAGCAGTCGAGCTCTTCCACATTTCCATCACACCCCCATCCCCCCAAAAACCCATACCCATTGACAGTCACTCCCATATCCCCCTCCCCCAATCTCCTGGCAACCACTAATCCACTTTCTATCTCTATAGATTTGCCTGTTCTGGACATTTCATCTAAATGGGGTCATACAAGAGGTGTAGTCCTTTGTGTGGTTTCTTTTACTGAGCATAATGTTCTCAAGGTTCATCCACGCTGTGGTATATCAGTACTTTATTCCTTTCTATGGCTGAATAATATTCCATTGTATGGATATTGCACATTTTGTTTATCCATTTATCAGCTGATGGACATTTGGGTTGTTTCCACTTTTTGGCTATTATGAATAATGCTGCATGAACATTTGTGTATAAAGTTTTTGTGTAGACGTATGTTTTTATTTCTTTTGAGTATATACCTAGTGTCATATGGTAACTGTGTTGAAACTTTTTGAGGAACTACTAAGTTGTATTCCAAAGCCACTGTACCATCTGACATTTGCTTGGGGCTTCTTGGGTGGACTCATCCCAAGCTTTGCAGCAGCTGGCTGGCCCTGCTCTGTCCTGAAGGTTACCTACTCCTGGCCTGAAGGATGAGAGTGACTTGAGAGAATGTGGTTAGAATGTCCCCAGCGTCTGTGGCCGATGTCAGCAGGCATTCTCCAATTCCCTCCATGCCTCTGTGGAGAGTGAGATCTGGGTGCGCCATGTTGCTTCCTTGGCAGGGAGTGGTGATGTGGGAGCGGGTGACCTGGGTATAGATTCTGGGCTGCTGCGTTAACCTGCTGTGTGACATGGTGTCTTAGTTACCTAGTGCTGCTGTAACAGAAATACCACAAGTAGGTGGCTTTAAAGAACAAAAATTTATTTTCTCACAGTTCAGGAGACTAGAAGTCCAAACTCAGAGCACTGGCTGTGTGTCTCCTCTGGGGGAAGAGCCTCTTTCAGCTTCCGTAGCGCCTGCATTCCTCGGCATCTGTCTTCTCTCATTTGTGTTTGCTTATCTCTGTGTCTAACCTGCGCTTTTTATAACTCAGAAGTGATCAGGTTTAGGACCCACCCTACACAGATAGGGCCTCATTAACATAACAAAAACCCTATTCCCAAAGGGGTCATATCCACAGGTACAGGGGTTAGGATTCCAACACGTATTTTGGGGGGACACAATTCCATCTATAACTCTCTGAGCCTCCCTTCTGGCAGACCTGGTAGGGAGGGCTGTGAGGGGTCAAATTCAGAATTTCACTTGCACTAACTTTCAGCCCTGCTCACGTGTTGGGTGACTGTTACTTATCTTCCCTACTCCATGCAGAGAGCCCTTGCCCCTCCTCCTCCCCTTCTGGGGGTCCTCTGCCTTCCCAGGAATTTGTCTAGGGGGGCTGTTGCACTTTCCGTGGACTCAGATCTCAGGCCACCGAGGGCTGTGTGCAGGGTGACTGCAGGGGGCCCCCACTCAGGGGTGCGTGAGGCCCGAAACCCAGCCTAAGCCCTGCTCACGAGGCTGTGCCCCACCCAGAGGGCTAGACTTTTCTGATTCCCAGCTAGTGGCCACACAGTTTTCCAACTCTTAATTAAGTTTAGTGGTCTTTTCCTTTGCACTATAGTTACCACTAAAACTAGTTGCCCTTGAGTCGATTCTGACTCATGGTGACCCCATGTGTGTCAGAGTAGAACCGTGCTCCCTAGGGTTTTCATGGGCTGATTTTTCGTAAGCAGATCATCAGGCCTTTCTTCTGAGGCATGTCTGGGTGGACTTGATCCTCCAGTCTTTCCAATAGCAGCTGAGCACATTAACCATTTGCACCACCCAGGGGCTCCTCTAGTGCCACTAGCTAATGGGAAAATAAGCAGAAAACAGTATTGCTGAACTGCATAGTTCCTTGTTGCCCTGCCCTCAGACTTCAGCCCCCGTAATACCCATGTCTGTAGACAGCTTAGAGGTAGAGCTCAGGTCTCTGCCAAGGTGCCTGCTGACTCATCTACGAGGGTCACCTGCATCAAGGATAGTGTCATGGCGTACTTGCTCCTGTGTTTAGCACACACGAAGAACACTGGATTTCTGGGGCACGCTTCTCTCTGTTCGGGGCCCTCTTCTTGCCGTTCTCCAGCAGGGTGTCTCCTGCTCATGGTTCGGCCTCGGCTTAGATGTCACCTGTTCCAGAAGCCTCCTCCAGCTCCCTGGCCCTGGGTTAGGTCTCCGATGTGGGAGCCTTCTCTAGTCAGTCCTATCATAGCCCTTGATACTACTGTATTGTTTTTTATTTGTTCTCTCCACTAGACTGTGGGCTCCCTAAGGGCAGGGGTCCCAACTTCATCACCCACCCACTGTCCCTCCACCTAATAAATATGGGGCCCCTCCAGTAGTCACACTCTTTGATACGTACTGGGGATATATCCTCACCCCTGGCCCACTACCTGGTGTGCTGTCAAATATTTATGGATAAATGAATGTTCTTAGAAATTAGTGATCCAAGTATCAAAACTTCAGGGTGGGTTGGTAGGAGAGTCATTAAGTATTAAGGCTTTGAAGGTTCTCTTGGAAGATCTCATCCCCCTGTCCTGCTTTCTTAGCCTTCTGAGTGCTTTCCCTCCCAACAGTGTCCTCATGTACCCTCACTCAGCTGCCCCAGTCAATCCTACTCCGATTTTCATTCAGACTATGGTGTAAATGACTGACAACAGTTTAAGCTGTTACCTTTCTCAAGCATACGTGCATTTTAAAAGGAGTAGCAGTTATAGATAGGGTGATGGTTTAGAGCATGGGCTTTTGATTGAGACAGACCAGACAAGCGACTTAACATCCTTGAACCTCAGCTTCTTCATGTGTATAATGGGGTTAATAACCTGATCGAGCTGTAAGGATTAGATTAGATTGCCATCCAAAAACTGTTTTTGTAAATCAAATTGTGTTGGAACACTGACATAGTTATTTGTTTATGTATTGTCCATAGCTGCTTTTAAGGAGCGTTGGTGGTGCACTCAGCTGCTAACCAAAAGGTCAGCAGTTCAAACCTACCAGCTGCTCTTCGGGAGAAAGACGTGGTAGTATGCTTTCATAAAGATTACAGCTTTGGAATTCCTATGGAACAGTTCTGCTGTGTCCTATAGGGTCACTATGAGTCAAAACTGACTCGACAGCAATGGGTTTGGTTTTTTTGGTTTTATAGCTGCTTTTATGCTTCAATGGCAGAGTTGAGTAGATGCAAAAGAGATAGTATGGGCCATAAAGCCAACACTATTTGCTCTCTGGTCCTTTCCAGAAAAATTTGCCAACTCCTAGATTACATAGTATGAGTTAATAAGTGCTAATTAAATAAATGGAGCCCCAGTGGCGCAGCGGTTAAGAGCTCAGCTGCTAACCAAAAGGTAGGCAGTTCGAATCTACCAGCTGCTCCTTGGAAACCCTATGGGGCAGTTCTACTCTGTCTTATCGGGTCGCTATGAGTTGGAATTGACTCATTGGCAATGGGTTTGGTTTTTGTTTTGTTTGTAGTTAAATAAATATTTTGCTTTTAGCCAAAAGGACAAAGCTGTGATGGTGAAATTGCAGGCCCCTGCCAGTGACGGGGAGGGGTTTGAAAGTCGTAGGTGCACTCCAGCGGCTCCTGAGACTGCCCTGCAGAGGCCAGTGACCCCATGATTTTTTCCCGTATCAGGACATTTTCACCCACTGCCACCTTTGAGTTCCAAATCAACCTTGTGGGATCAAGGAGTATCGACCCTCTGTAACAGGAGAGGAGAGTGAGGCTCGGAGCCATGAAGGGACTTGGCCGAGGACCCACCGTGAGATAGGACCCAATGGGAGCTGGAACCCAGGCTTCCTGGCTTCCGTTGCTAATGACTCAGAGACTCAGCCATGCCCTCGTGCCAGAAAAGGGCTCGTACCCTGCCCTGCCCACTATGCTGGCCCACAGAGGCAGGGAAGCGGCACGTGTGACGGGGTGGGCTGTGGCAGAGGGCAGAGTGGCCTGGTGGGCAGCGTCACATGGGTCTGACCTCTGTCTCTTTCTGTCCTGCTTCCAGCCTTTGGCCTGAGTGACCTTCCCAACCTGCTGGGCCTGGTGAGGGACCAGCTGGGCGACACGGAGCGGAAACGGCGCCATGCCAAGCCAGGCAGCTACAGTATGGAGGTGCTGCTGGTGGCGGACGACTCGGTGGTGCGCTTCCACGGCAAGGAGCACGTGCAGAACTATGTCCTCACCCTCATGAACATCGTGAGTGGCGGGTATCCTGGGATGTCAGGAGGTGGTGTGGGCCACCAGTATCGATCTGAATGGAAGACTTCTCTCGGGCCTGATGTTTCCCGGGATGGACTTGGGAGAGTCACTGCCTGCTCCTGGGCCCAGTGGGTATGCCCTTGGCAGCCAGTTCCCTGGTGAAATGGGCCTGCGCTGGCCTGACGTCAGTCCCAGGCCTGTGGCGTGGTCTTGGGTGTAGATACCTGTGCTGAGGTGGCCCTCAGGCTATCAGCGCCAGCCCCTGGCAAGCTGGAGCCTGCAGATGCGTTCAGAGCCTAGTCAGGCAAGGCCCGTGGCCTCACTTGCCTTATAGTTGGCAGGACATCCCTGAGGCTCATCATCTGGAGAAAATACCTAATCCCAGGGCTGGGGAGACTCTCCAAGGGGCTGTCGATCTGGGAGGGGGTATCCTGGGAACTCTCAGGGCCCCCGTTTTTTCATACTAGTATCTGCTCTTGGGTTTGTTGTAAAGTGTCAGTGAATACTAAGTGTAGAGTATTTAGCACATGGAGTACTCAAGTAATGTTTTCCATGTTTATTATCATGAGCTCTGTTATCAATCTTTGTGTCTATGTGTAAGTTGTCCTTTGTCTCCCCATCTAAATGTGAGCTCCTTGAGGGCAGGGACTTTGACTCATACCTTTTTTTTTTTTATTATTGTGTTTTAAGTGAAAGTTTACAATTCAAGTTACTCTGTCATACAAAAATTTATACATACCTTGTTATGTGACTCTAATCGCTCTCCTTGTACTGTAACAGCACACTCCTTTCCACTCCTGATTTCCTGTGTCCGTTCAACTGGCTCCTGACCGACCCTCTCTGCCTTCTCATTTCACCTCTGGACAGAAGCTGCCCATTTAGTCTAACGTCTCTACTTGAGCTAAGAGGCACACTCTTCACGAGTATCATTTTATGTCCCATAGTCCGGTCTAATCTTTGTCTGAAGAATTGGCCTAGGGAATGGTTTTAGTTTTGGGCTAACAGAGAGTCTGGGGACCATGTCTTCTGGGGTCCCTCCAGTCTCAATCAAACCATTAAGTCTGGTCTTTTTATTAGAATTTGGGTTCTGCACCCCACTTTTCATACTTTTTTGAACCCTGGCAAAAATCACCCATTGAAAACCCTGTGGAGCACAGTTCTACTCTGACACACGTGGGCTCGTCAGGAGTTGGAGTCCACTCGATGGCAGCTGGTAACCCACCATACAGTGCCCGACCCCTGGTAGGTGATCAGGGAGTGTGGAAGTGAGTGGTGTCTAGGAGAGAAGCAGGTTGTCAGCAGGTGCTGAGATGGGACCAGGAGAAGGCGGGAGGTTTCAGTTGGCAATGTCCAAATCTATACAACTTGAGGATATGGTGGAAATCAGCTCCAGTTACAGGAGCTCCAGAGGGGGTGGATGCCAGAAAGTCTGCCGCCCACCGACTCCTTGTTTGGACGTGCTTATTCCTCTACCTCTTAAGCCTAGCACCTGGCTTGGGACTCAAAGGGCAAAGGCTACAGCTTGGAGCAGTTTGAGAGAGGTTGGGGGAGAGAGGGAGAATGAATGTGAACATGAACACACCCACCACATTGACCACCCACCCAGACGCTCTAGAAATTCTGGGCCCAGCCTAAGACCACACAGTTGAGCACTAATCTGTTATTGGGAGGCCAGGCTGAGGGCCAGGTTGGGCCCTGGAGGAGCAGGAGAGGGGGAGGTGCAGGGAAGACTGATGGTTAAGGTTGTGCGTCAACTTGGCTGGGCCATGATTCTCAGTGGTTTGGCAGTTACGATGTAATTTGGCAGTCGTATGATGTTGTGATCACGTCCATGATGAGATTTGGTATAATGTGATCACCTCCATCAGAGGATCTGCTGTGAGTAGCCAATCAGTTGAAAGGGGGTTTCGTGGGGTATGTGGCATTCATCCAATATAAGTGGGCATTCTGGCAAGGCTCATGGGCTTTTGCTTGCACTGGATCCTGCATCTGGCTCCTGTTCTTGGGACTTGAGCTTGCAGTTTACCTGTGGTCTTACCTGCTAATCTTAGAATTTGTGGATCTTTGTAGCCTGTGAGCAAGAGCCTTGCTCTCTGACCTGCCATTCTTGAGTTTGCCAGCCCCTGCGGCTACGTGAATCAGGAGATGCCTCTATCCTGACCCGAGGACTTGGGACATTTCAGCCTCTACGATTGCATGAGCCATTTCCCTGACATAAATTTCTCTCTATATATATATTTATACGCTTTACTGGTTTTGCTTCTCTAGAGAACACGGCCTAAAACAAAGACCCTATGGAGCCCTAGGGTACCAGGAGCCTGGATCCTATGGTCTTGAAGCTGGGGCAGAAGAACCCAGGAGTATGTGCAGACCCTAGTTAGAGCCCTAGAGGCCTTCAGTTTGTTTGAAGATAATTTTCAGAAAAAGGAAAGAACATGACTCTCATTTAGAAGTAAAAACAACTGCTTGTTAAAGAATTTATTCTACTCATTAATCAATGAGGGAACCAAGCAGATGTTATAACCAGTTCAAAAGAGAACCCAAAGAATGGAAACATTACCAGTACCAGTTACCATAGAGTTCACATGACTCAGGACAACACCATGTGTGTCAGAGTAGAACTATGCTCTGCAGAGTTTTCAATAGCTGATTTTTTGGAGGTAGATTGCCAGGCCTTTCTTCTGAAGCATCTCTGGGTGGGCTCAAACCTCCAACCTTTTGGTTAGCAGTCAAGTGCTTTAGTCATTTGTACCACCCAGGGACTCTGGGAAGTATTTATAGATCAGGAATATTGAAGTGAATGTGCAAATGGAGGCTGTCTTAGTTATCTAGTGCTGCTGTAACAGAAGTAATCACAAGTGGATGGCTTTAACAAGCAGAAGTTTATTATCTCACAGTCTCATAGGCTAAAAGTCCAAATTCAGGGTGTCAGCTCCAGGGGAAGGCTTTCCCTCTCTGTCAACTCTGGAGGAAGGTCCTTCTCATCAATCTTTCCCTGGACTAGGAGCTTCTCTGTGCAGGAAGCCCGGGTCCAAAGGACACGCTCTGCTCCCAGCGCTGCTTTCTTGGTGGTATGAGGTCCCCCAGTCTCTCTGCTTGCTTCTCTCTTTTATATCTCTTTATATATTGCAAAAGAGATTAGCTTTAGGCACAATCTAATCTTGAGTTTACATATCTTCTGCTAATCTCATCATCAACATCATAGAGATAGGATTTATAACACATAGGGAAATCTCATCAGATGACAAAATGGTGTTTTATAATCATACAATTGTATAATTATACAATAGTGGGAATCATGACCTAGCCAAGTTGACAGATATTTTGGGGGGACACAAGTCAATCCATGACATTCCACCCTTTGGCCCCCAAAATTCGTGTCCTTGCCACATGTAAAACACATTCACCTCATCGTATCACAGCAAACGTCTTAATTCAACTCCAAATCCAAAATCCAAAAATTCCTCTTCATCTGTGGAATCTAAAATACAAGTTATCTGCTTCCCGAGGTATAATGGCAGAACAGGCACAAGCTAGATATTTCCATTACAAATGGGAGGAATTAGAGGGAAAGAAAGCATAATGGGCACCAAGCAAATCAGCAGACCACATTATATTAGCCCTTAAGGCTTTGAAAATAATCCTCTGTTCTCCAGACTCTGGATATTGGCCACACTCTCCTGATTCTGGGTGGAGGCCCCTGGCCCTGGGCTTCTACTCCACCTTCTGTGCCCACCGGGACAGCAACTCTGCTTCCTTGGCTTTAGATGCACCATTCTCCTAGTCCATCTGAATGGCGACTCCACCATTAGAAACACCAGAGGCCATGGCTCCACCCTGTGAGACCCCAGAGGTCATGGCCATACCCTTTGAAGCAGCTTGACTTCCTGTGTTCCTTGTCTCTTCAGCTTCTGCTTCCTGGTTTCTTAGCCTCTTGGCTCTTCAGGCCTCTCCACCCGTGCCTGCCCTGCTAGGGCAAGTGTTCCAAAGCTTGGTAGCTCCACCAATAAGTGCCTGCAGGCACCCCACTCCACCAGTAAACTTTGGTTGGAAGGCACTCAGCTCTCTTGCTCTGTGGGTCATCAGGCCTAACTCTGGTAAGTGCCCAGAGGCACCCCACTCCTCCAGGAAGCCTCTTGTGCACAGGCACTCAGCACTCTCGCTCCGTGGGTCAGCTCCAGCGTCATCTTGCGCTGGTCTCCTGGTTCTGCTGCTTCCAGTTGTTTACTGCTGCTTCCAGTCCTCTGCTGCTGCTGGTTCTCTGCTGCTGCTTCTCACCATCTGCACCATCTCCAGTGTTAAACAGTTCTCCTCACTTCCTTCTGAGTCTTCTATCCATTCACAATTTCAAAACTGATCCAAATTTTGGTTATCTGTTAGAGCAGCACCCCACTCCCAGTACCAAATTCTGTCTTAGTTATCTAGTGCTGCTGTAATAGAAATACCACAAGTGGATGGCTTTAACAAAGAGAAGGTTATTCTCTCACAGTCTTGTAGGCTAGAAGTCCAAATTCAGGGTGTCAGCTCCAGGGGAAGGCTTTGTCTGTTGGGTCTGGAGGAAAGTCCTTCTTATCAATCTTCCCCTGGACTAGGAGCTTCTCCGTGCAGGAACCCTGGGTCCAAATGACACGCTCTGCTCACGGTGCTGCTTTCTTGGAGATATGAGGTTTCCTGTCTCTCTGCTTAATTCTCTTGTTTATATATCAAAAGAGATTGGCTTCAGACATAATCTAATCTTGTAGATTGAGTTTACATAACTGCTGCTAATCCCATCATCAAAATCATAGAGATAGGATTTATAACACATAGGGAAATCTCATCAGATGACAAAATGGTAGACAATCATACAATACTGAGAATCATGACCTAGCCTAGTTGACAGATATTTTTGGGGGACACAATTCACTCCATACAGAGGCAAAATTGTTTTTTTACTGGGAGGGAAGATAATTTAGCTTCCACTAGAAGAAACCCTATGGGGCAGTTCTACTCTGTCC